TTGCCGGAAGTCCCCCTTGTTGAGGATTTTTACATCTATGTTTATCAGGGATATTGGCTTGAAATTTTCTTTTTTTTGTAATGTCTTTATTGGTTTTGGAATCAGAGTAATGATAACTTCATAAAATAAGCTTGATAGTCTTCTCTCCTCCTGAATTCTTCGGAATAGTTGAGAAGGGTAGGTGTTAATTCTTCTTTGAATGCTTGGTAAAATTCACCTGTAAAGCCATCCAGTTCAGGACTTTGTTGTTTTTTTTTTGGAGTATTTAAAATTTTTTTTTAAATCCTCACCCAAGAATACATTTATTGATTTGAGAGAGAGGGAGAGAGACAAACATCTATTGGTTGTATCTCTGTGTGCCCCAACTGAGGATTGAACCTGCAACCTAGGTATGTGCCTCAACCAAGGAGTGTACATGCAACTGTTTTGGTGTATGGGATGATGTTCCAACCAATTAAGCTACCTGATCAGGGCTAAGAGTTTTTTGATTACTGATTTGATTTCTTTGGTAGTAATTGGTCTGTTTGATTTTTTTTGTTTTCACTTCATTCAGTCTTCGAAGTTTGTATTTTTCTAGGAATTTATCCATGTCTTCCAGACTGTTCAGTTTCTTGGCTATACAGTGGAACCTCTGTCTTTGAACTTAATTTACTCTGGAAGGTTGTTTGAGAACATAATTGTTTGAGACAGGAGACATTTGAGAACCTGGATTTGACTGTGTCAGCATAGAGGGGTTGTTGGGTTGAGAACTGAAGGTTTATTCGACAACCAAGACTTTTTTCTTCTTATTTTTTGGCAAACAGCATGATTGAGAACGAAATTGTTTAAGATGGGAGACACTGAAGGACTGAGGTGTGAGTGTAATTGGTTATAGTATTTGCTTATAATTCTTTGTATTTCTGTTGTGTCAGTTCTCTTTCATTGCTGATTTTGTCTGTGTTCTCTACCCCTACCTCTGCCCTCTCTCTTTCTCTCTCTCTCATGAGTCTGACTAAAGGTTTATCAATCCTGTTTGTTATCTTTTCAAAGAACCAGCACTTGGTTTCACTGATATTTTGTATTGTTATGTTAGAATCAATTTTTGTGTATTTCCACTTTGATCTTTTTATATCCTTTCTTCTATTCAATTTGCACTTTGTTGTTCTTTTTCTAGCCCTTTAGGTGTCAAGTTAGATTGTTTGTTTGAGATTTTTCTTGTCTCTTGAGATAGGAGTGGCATTGTTATGAATGCTCTGTCCCATAGATTTTCTGTTGTTGTGTTTTCATTTTCATTTATCTTAAGGCATCTTTTGATTCCTTCCTTAATTTCATTGTTAACCTATTCATTGTTCAGTAACATGTTATTTACCTCATGTATTTGTATGTTTTTTATTTTGTTTCCTTGTAATTGATTTCTAGTTTCATACCATTGTGTTTGGAGAGCATGCTTGATATGATTTCAGTGTTCTTAAATTTGTTGAGACTTACTTTTTTTGTCCTAACATGTGCCCTATCCTGGAAAATGTTCTGTGTGCACTTGAAAACAATGTATGTTCTGTTGTTTTAGGGTGAATATCAATTAAATATTGCTCTGAAAATATCAATTAAATCCATCTAGTCTAATGTATCATTAAGGCCGCTATTTAATTTGGGAGTCCTACCCAGTGCCATCAATGGAGTGTTAAAGTTCTCTGGCTATAGGCCTGGCTGGCGTAGCTCAGTGGATTGAGCGCGGGCTGGGAACCAAAGTGTCCCAGGTTCGATTCCCAGCCAGGGTACATTCCTGGGTTGCAGGCCATAACCCCCAGCAACCGCACATTGATGTTTCTCTCTCTCTATCTCCCTCCCTTCCCTCTCTAAAAATAAATAAATAAAATATTAAAAAAAAAGTTCTCTGGCTATATTAGTGTCTGTGTCTTTGTTTATGTCCCTCAATATTTGCTTTTCATATTTAGGTGCTGCCTGGTTGGATGTTTAAATCTTTATAAGGTTTATATTCTCTTGTTGGATTGATCCAGCAATATCATTATATAATGTACACCTTGTTCTCTTATTATGAAAAGGCTATTGCATGAAATATCTTTTCTTCTACTTTTAGCCTATGTGTATGTCTGTCTTTCACTCTTGTTGAAAGCATGTGTGTTATTTTTTTCTTATCCATTCAACTACCCAATGTATTTTGATTGGAAGACTTACTGTGTTTATATCAAAAGTGATCAAGAATAGGTACATAGTTATTGCCATTTTATTATTTATATTTGTTCCTCCATCCCTTTTTTAAAACAAATTCTTTAACATTACTTGTAATACTGGTTTGTTGGTGATGTACTTGTTAGCTTTTTGTTGTATGGGAAGCTCTTTATTTCTCTTTCAATTTTAGTAATAATCTTGCTTGCTGGAGTAGCCTTTGTTACTTTTTATCACTTTGAATATTTTGTGCCACTCCCTTCTGGCCTTTTAAGTTTCTGTTGAGAAATGAGCTGACAGTCTTATGGGAGTTCCCTTGTAGATAACTATTTTTCTCTCACTGCTTTTTAAGATTCTCTGTCTTTAATTTTTGGTCATTTTAATTATGATATGTCTTGGTGTGGGCCTTTTGGATTCATCTTCTTTGAAATGTCCTTCATTTGTATGTCTATTGACTTTACCAGCATATGGAAGTTTTCATTCATTATTTCTCCAAATAGGTCCCAAATCCCTTGCTTTCTCTCTTTTCCTTCTGGTAGATGTATGATGTGAATGTTGTTATACTTGATGTTGTCTCAGAGGCCCTTTAAACTAGCCTCATTTTTAATTTTTTTTCTTACTGCTCTTCTGATTGGTGTTACTGCTACCTTGTCTTCCAAATTGCTAATATGATCTTCTTCTTCATCTAATCTGTTATTAATTCCTTCCAGTATATTCTTTATTTCAGTTGTATTTTCCACTTCTTTTTAAAATATATTTTATTGATTAATTATGCTATTACAGTTGTCCCATTATCCCCTTCATTTTCCTCCACCTGCACACCCTCTCCCACCCACATTCCCCTCCTTTAGTTCATGTCCATGGGTCATAACTTCTTTAGCTTCTACATTTCCCTTACTATTCTTGCCCTCCCCCTGTCTATTTTTTACCTACCATCTATGCTACTTATTCTCTGTACCTTTTCCCCCTCTCTCCTCCTCCCACTCCCCTGTTGATAACCATCCATGTGATCTCCATTTCTGTGGTTCTGTTCCTGTTGTTTTTGTTTGCTTAGTTTGCTTTTGTTTTAGGTATGGTTGTTACCAACTGTGAGTTTGCTGTCATTTTACTATACAAGTTTTTTATCTTCTTTTGCTTAGATAAGTCCCTTTAATGTTTCATATAATAAGTGCTTGGTGATGATGAACTCCTTTAACTTGACCTTATCTGAGAAGCACTTTATCTGCCCTTCCATTCTAAATGAAAGCTTTGCTGGATAGAGCAATCTGGGATGTAGGTCCTTGCCTTTCATGACTTGGAATACTTCTTTCCAGCCCCTTCTTGCCTGCAAGATCTCTCTTGAGAAATCAACTGACAGTCAGATGGGAACTCCTTTGTAGGTAACTGTCTCCTTGTCTCTTGCTGCTTCTAGTATTCCCTCCTTCATTTTAATCTTGGGTAATGTAATTACGATGTGCCCTGGTGTGTTCCTTCTTGGGTCCAACTTCTTTGGGACTCTCTGAGCTTCCTGGACTTCCTGGAAGTCTATTTCCCTTGCCAGATTGGGGAAGTTCTCCTTTATTATTTGTTCAAATAACTTTTCCACTTGTTGCTCTTCCTCTTCCCCTTCTGGTACCCCTATAATTTGGATGTTGGAACATTTAAACATGTCCTGTAGGTTCCTAAGCCTCTCCTCGTTTTTTTGAATTCTTGTTTCTTCCTTCTTTTCTGTTTGTTCCTTTCTTCCTTCTGGTCCACTCCATTGATTTGAGTCCCAGTTTCCTTCCCATCACTGTTGTTCCCCTGTGCATTTTCTTTTATTTCACTTAGCATAGCCTTCATTTTTTCATCTAATTTGTGACCAAATTCAGCCAGTTCTGTGAGCATCCTGATCACCAGTGCTTTGAACTTTGCATCTGATAGGCTGGCTATCTCTTCATTGCTTAGTTGTATTTGTTCTGGAGCTTTGATCTGTTCTTTCATTTGGGCCATTTTTTTTTGCCTTGACACACCTGTTACATAGTGGGGGTGGAACCTTAGGTATTCACCAGGACAGGGCAACCCATGTTGCTGGGTTGTGATGCTGTTGGTGGGGGAGGGATCTGAGAGGGATCAGTGGCACTTGCTCCACTCTGTGCCAGATTTCAGTCCTTTCTGCTGCTTCCCCCAAGCAAACTGGGCCCTTCTGGTGCTGATTCCCATGTGGGTGGGCTTGTGTAGGTTCTAGAACCCTGTGGGTCTCTCCAGTGAACTTTCCTGTGAGGCTGGGAGTCTTTCCTGGCACCTCAAGCCCCACAGGTGTTTTCAGTCAGTTCCCGGAGGCTCTATTTCCTGGCGATGGTACCCTGGGTTGCACGCAGAGCCTTGCTTCACAGTGGCTGCCTCGCTAGGCCTTCCAGTTTCCACCCTGTGCCCGGGGTCTGCCAGCAGCCGCCTGAGTGCCCAGGGTCTGCCTGCTGCAGTCTTGCACCACCGGGATGCCTTACGTACCTGGTGCCACTGCTCTTTGTGCCGCTACCCCTCTCCCCTGGCTGCCTGACTCCACCTGTCCTACTGGTCTGGATGAATGTGTCTGTTTCAACTCCTTGGTTGTCAGACTTTCATACAGTTCAATTTTCTGTCAGTTCTGGTTGTTATTCTGTTTCTAAATTTTTGTTGTCCCTATCTTGGTTGTGCAAGGAGGCACAGTGTGTCTACCTATGCCTCCATCTTGGCCTGAAGTCCGGAGAGGTATTTTTTATTGATTTCCTAAGTGATGGGAAATCTCCCTGAATTATAACTTACTTAAAAATAGAGGGAACATTTTACCATCGGGCCTTAGAGATTTACCAGCATTCTGACCTTGTTTTCTACAGGGGGCAGCTGGCATTTTATGCTATGTGGGAGCATATGTCTTCATCACTTATGATGATTATGACCACTTCTTTGAAGATGTGTACACTCTCATCCCTGCTGTAGTGATTATAGCTGTAGGAGCTTTGCTTTTCATTATTGGACTAATTGGCTGCTGTGCCACAATCCGGGAAAGTCACTGTGGACTGGCCACGGTAAGCTAGCCCTTCATATACCACATGAGTCATCATAAAATGTGAGAATATTTCATTTATGTTGCTTGCTTTGAATTGATCATGAAACTCCATAGACTGTTGCTTAAAATTGGAACAGAACTGGCACTTGTCTTAAACTTCTAGTAGTTATCTTAGATAATTGTTTTTTACCAAGAGCGTATTTATTGCTATTTCTTAATTTGTATTTAATTTTTGACAATGTTTCCTTGCAGTTTGTCATCATCCTACTCTTAGTTTTTGTCACAGAAGTTGTTGTAGTGGTTTTGGGATACGTTTACAGAGCAAAGGTATGTTGTCTACTCTGATTCATGTTTTAAAAGGTAATTTGTTTCAAGTGAATTAGAACATTTATTTTTATCAAAATAAATGCTTTCTTTTGCCTTCAGTTTAGCCACTGCTTTAAAAATCTAAGGTTCATTAGAAATTATATGTCAAGATTTCTCGTCTCCCCATTTTATGTAGCAAAGTGTTAATTCTACTACTCCTCTAGTTGCAGATGCTTAGTTTTCTTTAAATTACCTTGAATGGCTCTGGCTTGCATGGCTCAGTTGGTTCCCTGAGTTGCAGGCCAAGTCTCCAGTTCGGGACATGTGAGAGGCAAGTGATTGATGTTTCACACATCAATGTTTGTCTCCCTCTCTTTCTCCCACCCCCTTTTTCTAAAAATAAATAAAATCTTTTAAAAAATTACCTTGAATGAGCTATAGATGAATCATTGATCAGCTGGGAAGTTTGTTCAAATTTCCTCATCCAATAGATTCTCTGTATGAGAGGGGAAATATAAATTTCCTGACTTACATTTCACTTTCCATTGCTTCTTTTAAAAATGCCTTGTTCTGAACATAGAACAAGACGACCATAAGTTGTGATGCTGCCTCTGTTCTGTCCTCTCCTGTGGAGCAAGACGTCCTGCCAGCTCAGATACCAAGGAAGCTTTGCTAGCCTTTCCCTTCTTGCCCCCCGTCTTCTTTTCTGTCCATTTCTTTTTATTTTCTTTCCTATTTCCTTTCTATTTTGCCTGCTTTTGCTTTTCACCATTTAAGGCTAAACAGTCTGCTTTACATAATTAATTTGGGCATAACTTTAGAGCCAGGTTATAAAGGCATAATAGAGTCATTGTAAGGCATGGTTTTAAGTCAAAGGCATGATATCCAATTTAATATTTAAATCATTGATACATAAGGTACCAGGCAACTATGCAAAAAAAAAGAATACAATGGATTATGCCCCTGCTTATGACCTGGTTCTCAACTATAGTCTCCTGACATCACTGATAAAATTATCAAATAAGCCTAATAATCTTAAAAGGGTAAGGAGAATCGGGCACAAACTTAATGAATGTGACACATTCTGTCATTTTAGTAATGACATCAAAGTGTCATTTCTAAGGACTGAATTTTTTACCTGATTACTTTGCATATTTGGCCAAGTCTAATAATTTGTCCCAAAAATATCTCATGGTGTTTTTTTTTAAGTAATTTTATTTTTACCTCCTTTAGGAAAGGAAAATGAAGTCTTTTGAGGCTACATTGAAAACTTATCTTAAAAAGAAGGCAGTCCATTTGTAATTTTAATTTAATTGAGCCATCTCAAGACTCAACTGCATTTTCCCCTTTGAGTGGAATGTTAGCTTGCTATCTTGTACACAGTCGTTTCTTTGAATGCTTAATCTATATGATATAAAATGTCTGAATTTTTACCTGAATCTGTATAGAGTCAGGAAGGGAGAACCTTTTTCATATAAGAAATTTACAGAGCTCTCTTCCAACTTTGCAAATATGCCATTTAGGCATTTTAGCTAGAGTACTGACTAATACTACTTTTACTGGTATTTTAGAGGAACTGAATTCTTTCTTTTGATTCAGGTGGAAAATGAGGTTGACCGCAGCATTCAGAAAGTATATAAGACCTACAGTGGAACCAGCCCTGATGCTGCTAGCCGGGCTATTGATTATGTACAGAGACAGGTGAGCTCTCTTGAGGCAACTTTGTTTTTGAGGGCCAATCACTTTTGGGTGAACATAAAACTTACTGTGCTCTACTGTGTAAATTAGCCATGTACATTCACAGTTATGGTTAACTTCATGATGTGTTGAGTATTTTTATCTTCACCCTTGAAAAGTTTTTCCCACCATGACCTAGTTTAAGTCAGATAAAATGCATCTTACTTTTCCACCCCCAAGCTAATTAGTCAGAGAGGTGATAATGGAAGAGAGGTATGTGTCACGGGGAAGGTAGGAGTCCAGATGGACTTAAGAGGAGGGGGAAGATCTTCTTCATATATTTTTTAAGAGCAAAACCAGAAAAGGTAACTGACAAAACTAAAAAAAAATATTATGGATGATTTGAAACATACATGGAGATAGAGAGAAAGTATAGTAGATATTTATTTCCATAAACCCCCCTTCCAAAATTGTTGGCTTTTTGTCAATCTTGTTTCATCTATTACCCCCACATATCTTCTGCTAGATTGTTGTAAAGCAAATTACATACAAATATTTAGACCAAATATTTTAAATATACTATCATTGGAAGTAGTATTTAACTCAGAACCAAGTATTTCACATGTAGGCTAGGAAGAATTTTCTTAGCTATAAACTATCTCTGTGGGTAATGTGCTTTTCATATGGAGGTTCTAGAGCCACTATCCATATGTGGCTATTTAAATTAAAATTAAACATTCAATTTCTTAGTCATACCAGCCACATTTTAAGTGCTCAATAGTCTTATGTAGCTAGTGGCTACCATGTTGGGCATACAGACATAGGACATTTCTATCAGTGCAGAAAGTTCTGTTGGATATCACTATTCTAGTATAAGTTAAAGCTCTGCAGTGCACAGAACTCTAAAGTTCAAGACAGTTATATGTATTTTGTGAGGAGTAATATCTGTATTTTCTTTTCCAATAGCTGCACTGTTGTGGAATTCACAATTACTCAGACTGGGAAAATACAGACTGGTTCAAAGAAACCAAAAATCAGAGTGTCCCTCTAAGCTGCTGCAGAGAGACCGCCAGCAGCTGTAATGGCAGTCTGGCCCATCCCTCCAACCTCTATGCTGAGGTAAGTCCAGTTTCTTGGCCAAACCTTGAATCTTGCCTGGTAACCTGTTTTGTTTTCTCTGAATCATCTCTATCTGGAACTTCTTTTCTACCATCTTTTGCTTGTCTTTTTTACCTAAAGCCATCTTAACCACTTTTCAGTGTACTGAGTATACCATCTCCAGAACTGTTTCCTTCTTGAACACTGAAACTTTAAACTCATTACATAACAATTCTCCATTCTCTCCTCCCTCAATCCCTGGCAACCACCCTTCTACTTTCTATGTCTGTGAATTTGACTATTTTAGGTACTGCATATAAGGAACCCTACAATACTTGTGCTGTTGTGCCTGGCTATGTTTTTAGTCAGCATAATGTCTTCAGGTTCGTCCATGTTGTAGCATGAGTCAGAATTTTATTCCTTCTTAAGCCTGAATAATTCTCCCATTGTATAGATAGGCCACATTCTGCTTATCCATTGATTTGTCGGTAGACACCTGGGTTGCTGCTCCCTTTTGGCTGTCTTGAATAATGCTGCTGTGAAAATAGGTGTACAAATATTCTTTGGAGTCCCTGCTTGCAATTCTTCTTTTTTTAAGGATTTAAATTATATTATATATACTGTGGTTATGTCTTCTAATTAAAAAATAAAATTTGTTTTCAATTAGTGTTGAGATACAATATTTGGTTAGTTTCAGGTATATAGTATAGTGGTTAGTCACTTACATAACTTAAAAAGTGATCTCCCCCAAAACCCTACTACCCACCTGTCACCACACATATAGAAATACACATTTCTATGTATTTCTATGCTGTAGTTTATGTCTCTATGACTTTTGCTGGTCTTTAAAGCTATTTTCTTTTACTGTAAATTATTTTTAAATGCATGGTCTTTTTCTGTCTTTTAGTTTTTGTCATTTTCATTTCTACCAATGAGTAGTAGTAATATGTGACCTTGTAACTTTCAGTTTTATAAGAGATATCTAATGAGGATTAATTTGTATGTTTTAGGGGTGTGAAGCTCTAGTTGTGAAGAAGCTACAAGAAATTATGATGCATGTTATCTGGGCAGCTCTGGCATTTGCAGCTATTCAGGTGAGCACAGTTAAGCCAAGCAGTTGTTATCAGAGTATACTGATCTCTGATGTCAGTCCTGAATGGTTTTCATCACTAATTGCAGTTACTCTCTGTGTATATAGATAACTTGAAAAAATTGATACAGGGACCAGTTTCCAACATCTTCCATTTTCTGTCTCTAGACTTAGACCCAGAATGGTTTCAGCAAACTAGAGGTCTGGGTGGGAGGACTGTGTGTGAGAGGACTCTGTATTATTTTCTTGACTTGATTAGTGAGTGACCTGCTCAAAATACAAGCTGTTGTCATACTGTAGTCTTGGGAGGTATTTTAATGGATCTTTACACAATTTTTAGAATTGTATTGCTTTATTTCCATTTGGAAATAATTTTAGTCTTTTTTAAAACTAGTTTTTATTCTTTTGGTTCTTGTTTTTCTGTCCTCAGGGGTTTTATATGTTAATAATAAATCAAGAATGGATACTACTGGTACTATTGTACAACTCTAGTCTCTTATACTAATAGGAGAAATTTTATTGCTTTACAGAAAAGGCCTTCAAGTAAAGACTGAGGTTCTAACCTCTTCTGTATTTGAGACTTAATTTTTTAAAATGGATAACCATCAAGGAGTCCATGACATCACTTAGCGCATCTGGAAGTGTATCGTGCTGTTGTTGGTAGCAGAAGTGGACTTACATTCTTAACTCCTGCTGGTGAAAGCATTCTTTTCCCCCTTAATAATAGCATGTGCAAAGTACTGGAGTAATTTCTTAATTATCCCTTAACTTTACTCCTAGTCCCAGTGTGTATGCATACACACATCCTTATCCCTCACCCCTACCCAAAAACAAAAAAGAAAGACAGCTATTTTTCTGCCTAGTATAACTACTTACATTCCTAGGTACATTCATTATATTTTAGAGATTCTGCTACAGGAATGTTTCAGAAGAATCTTAAAACTGAGAATAGCCAACTATTTGAAAGTGATTGAAAATCCTTTGCATCAGATTTAATTCTCAGGCTGTTCTTTTAGTTGTTTTTGAAATATGCTTTGGGCCTAGAGAATATATTTTAAGAAATGGAGGTATCTTTTAATTGTTAGATAAAACAAATTAGATTGCTAGTTTATAAGTTGCTTGGATTGCTTTTCTCTGTATTTGAACAGAAGCTAGTGTATTTAATGGGCAGTACCTTTTAAAATGGCAAAAGGGTGATTATTTACCTTGCAGGTGTTCTAAGAGCCCTGAAAGGACTCATTAAAAGGACTAGCTTTGTATTTTTTAATGGTCTTTGCCCTCCTAACCATTGATTTTGTGGCATAGCAGTAATCTGTTAATCAGTGGGGATATATTTCATAGTTTGATTGTCCGTATAAACACATTTAGGTAAAAATAATGAAACATCAGGGACTTCTCTTTTCCCAAGTGAAGTCCTGATCTGTACAGTCTTAATGGTTTTATCTATAGTAAGAGAGCTGCACATTTAGCCTGCGGCAAAGAAAGCTTAGGAACTGTATGGTGGTTTTGATCATGAAATATACAACATTGTGTAGAAGACTGATGAAAATTGTCCCATTAGTTATGTCCCTCATCTAGTTAAGTTTATTAACCAGCCAGATATTTCTTCACTAACTTTTTTAGTAGGGGCTAATAAATATTCTAACTAGTCTCTTTCTCATATGTGTGTGTCAACTGATGGTCATTGGCATCAATTCAATGCCTACAGGAATGCCCAATTTGGACTATAATGAAGAAGGAGACTATTCACTGCAAAACTGCTCCACTCCCATATAGCATGGCTGTGAGGCAGCCCTACAGCCAGGCCCCTGTCTGACTAGACAGCTTTGCTGTGCTCCTTGCTGGTCTGCTCTGCTCTGCTCTGGTGACGTAGTTCAGCTGGGGAAACACAGTCTTCAGAGGAAAGGGAAAGTGTGCTCCCAGAGCCACTGGGGAGCTAGCTTATATAGACAAAAGTCCTTAACCCTGGTCCCTGATTGGTCTGTCCTCATGCAAATGAGGGCTCCAAATCCTGGCAGTTTGATTGGTCAGAGTGGACTCACTATGATTGGTCAGCGAAGATGTTGGTGGGGAGTGTGGTAGCTTTGGGTGGTGAAAGCCTCAGTCCTGTTGGGTGAAACAGGACTCCAGAAACTCCCTTATAAGGACTGGCTTAGATGGCAGAACTAGTGTAGGCAGGCAGTTCAGTACAGAGACTCACAGTTTACTGCAGGTTTTTTCCTGAAGCACGGTTTGCAATGAGAGGCCCCTGTGTAGAAATGGCCGCTAGGGTGCTTTGTTTCGTTTTGTTTAATCTGAGCTCACTTAACCACTGGGAGCCCTTTTCAGTATGTATCTTCTTTCTTGGGGTTCATACATTTTATACTTAAATCACCCTGACTTAAAGATAGCTGATAAAGATTTGATGTTTTAGTTCAGCAGAACTGAGTTGGATTCAGAGATTCACAGACTCAAAACCTCTAGTGTCTTTGAAAATTTAAAAAAACTTTGGTTTTAAGGAAAAACAATAAGTTTCCCTAATGTTTTCTCTTTCTTTTGAGAGTATCTAGAAATGTTCTAAGCTCTTGATATTCAAAATCTGATATGCCTGGGTACCTTAGGTATGGAAAACCCAAGCAAAAACAGGTCAGTGAGCTCTTGTTTGTATACCAATCCTGATAGAGAAAGTTAGACCTAGAAAGACACTTGGAGATTCTCCAGTTCCTATGCCCTTTGTTTTAAAGGCCATGAAAATGATGGGGAGCAAGGGTAATATGTGTTATGACTGTCACTAAAGCTTGAACCACAGCTCCATTGTAATCCAATTATGAATCGAAGAATTAGTATTATCAAAAGATTACATTCCTAAGTCCTGTTATGAAACCTGAAAGTTAATTGGCACTTCAGCTGGATAAAATATATAATGCAGTAGCATTGAAATATTATTAGCACTTATTCCTTAGGTTCCAAAGTGGGGAAGCTCTAAGAGTTATTGTAGTAAATAGTTTGAAATAATGTTAATGATTGACAGATGATTTGTGGCAGTGTATCAAAACTTTTTAGCATTGTCTTCTTTGATTCTGAGTGTGGTTTTAACTGTTAAGCTATATTACATCGAAGTTCTAATACAGAGAGGTGAGTTTAAGAAGAAATTTTTTTAGAAGCTTAATTTACCAGTAAAAGGCTCCAGTTTAGGAGTTGACCATTTGTGTACCGAATCTATCTCACCACCTCTTTTTATGTGAGCTGCACTTTGTCTCTGGCTGCTTTTGTGTTACAGTGGCAAAGTAGAGTAGTTGCAACAGACCAATTTTGTCTCTTGGTTCAAAAAGCCTCCAATATTTACTATATTGCTCTTTAAGAAACATGTGCAGACCCTTGCCCTAGTTCTAGTTAAATGTGCTAGGTGTGAGTAGGACCAAAATGATCAAGACCTGAAAACTGCTAGTTAATTATTATAACAGTTTTGAATATGAGAGAATGAAGTTTAAAAATTTTTACTATGTCCCCTGTTAACTTACTATGTAAGGTATTTCACTTCTTTGACAGTAAACAGCCCCTTAAATTAACAAATGATTAATTATGAATTTCATATTTGAAAAACCTGGTCTCTGCTGTGGGTAAGGCTCTCTACAGAGGCAATATGGGAAAAATGGGCATTGTCAGTCTTTGGAGACTCATAAAGTTGGCATGTCCTCAAGATGAGTTGACTGAGAGCACACTTTCAGAGAACTGTTTCCTATTGCTGTTTCCTATTATATATGCCAAGTGCGAAGGAAGGAGGTTGAGACTATATTTCCTTTCCTTCCTGCTTCTTGACTACTAATTTTTTTGTTAAAATGAGTTATAATACATAAGTGATTAACACTTCAGATTGAACCCACAGGTGGCTAGAACTGAGTGGCTTCATTCTTTAAATATTTTTTCCAAGTAATTCTTCCTTAAAAACTTAATCAAGGAACATGTATGTATAAAGGACCCATGGACAAAGCCAAAGGGAGGTAGAACCGAGGGTGGGAGGTGGGAAGTGGGGGTGGGTGGGTGGGTCCGGGAGAGTGGTGGGCGAAAAATGGAGACAACTGTGCTTGAACAACAATAACAAAAAATGATTCATTTATCCCTAAAGGTAATCATATCACCAAGACATTTTATACAATTTAAGGCATGTCAGAAAAAATGTTAAGTCTGTACATATAAATTATTGGTTCAGAAAATATTGTTACTATGTTATTCACATTTTGACAAAGATAACCATTTCAAACCTAAAAACAGACAAACAAACAAAAAACTTAACCAAAGCTTGGGAAGCTAATTCTTGAGTAGTTAAGGGTTTTTTGTTTTTGTTTTTAATTTGGAGGAAATTAATCTTGTTACATTTTGAAGGTTTTTTTAAATTGAAATGCCTATTTGACAATTTTTTTTCAAATAATACAAATTTAGTAAAAGGTAAGCTTCCTTCAAAGTCTTAATTAACTCCAGGTCCTCCCTGCAAAGGCTGCCACTGTTCCCAGTCTCCTGATGTAATTTCCTGTATGGAGTATAAATTACTTCCAGAAGTAATTTGTGGTTAGAAAAGCACATGTACATTTTTTTATGCAAATAGAAGCTTATAGGATGCAATTTTGTTCCTTGCCTTTAAAAAAATTGAGATAATTATATATTTACATGCTGTTTTAAGAACTAATACAGACAGAGAGCCCTTGTATGCTTTGCCCATTTTACTTCAGTGGTAACATTTTACACATCTATAATATATCACAACCAGGATATTGGTTTTGATACAATTTACCAATTTTATTCAGATTTCTTGTGTCTATGTGTATGTTTTCAGTTCTATATAATTTTATGACCTGTATAGATTCCTTTATCTACCACCACCAATCAAGATACTGAACAGTTCCCATATCACAGGGATCCCACGTAGTACCATCTGGTATCCTTTGGTAACTGCACCCATCTCTATCTGGTGATTTTGCCCCTTACCCTGGCAACCACTGATCTGTCCTCCATTTTTGAAATGTTGTCATTTTAGAATGATATATAAATAGAATCATGTGGTATGTAACTTTGGAGATTGCTTGTTAAAAATAAATTAATGTTGCTCTGGCTGGAGTAGCTCAGTGGATTGAGCACAGGCTGCGAGCCAAAGCATCGCAGGTTCGATTCCCAGTGAGGGCACATGCCTGGGTTGCAGGCCAGGTCCCCAGTGGGGGCCATGTGAGAGGCAACCACACATTGATTCTCTCTCTCTCTCCCCCCTCTTCCCCTCTCTAAAAATAAATAAATAAAATCTTTAAAAAAATAAAATAAATTTATGTCATGCTATAGCTGCATAGTATTTCATTTTGGTGACATATTTTATAATTAATCTACATCAACAGGCATTTATGTTAAGTCTTACTGTTACAAAAATGCAAGTAGTGAACATCATCTCTATGTGTGGGCAAAACTCTGTAACAAAAATTGTAGCCATGAAGTTGAGCCCCAGAGTATTAGTGACTTTATTTACATATTTTTCTCAGAAAAGGCTGTTTCCAGTATCCAGTATGCAGTTCCAATAACCTTGTGTAACAAACAATAGCTATTTCCTCATAATGCCTCCTACATAGTAGATCATGGAACATTTTAACCCTTAATGGTTTTTGTAATCACCATTGCCTCTGTATTTAGTAATCATGTTTTGTGGTTGCTGGGTGTTATATGTGGACTAAGTATAGATTATTTCTTGTGACTTGAATATCGTAGGAAAAATTCATTGCAAGAAACATTACTGTAGCTAAAATATTTGTATGATATTTCCAAGCCTGTTATTGGAAAATTTAATAAACAGTGAAACTTCAGCAGTATAGCCAAAACTTTGGAAATGGGCCTGTAATACTTAGTGATGAGGTTTGGAGTATAAGAAGTTATTGTGTAAAACTTAATGTTTTCAAACAGACTCATTCCCAAGCATGAGGAGGGTTTTATTAAGCTTTTAAAAATCATTTTAAATTAATACCAGTTGACTTAATTGAAACAAAAGTGAGGAAAGAAATGATACTTATTTCAGACCCCATTTTGAGAGTCCTGACTACTTTGGTAGAAGTTGGCCAACTGAAAGGAATGTGAGGGAAGTGGGGTGGGAAAAGAGATCCCTCCACCCCCGCCCAGCAAATCAGTAATTTCTGAGCTTCGCATTTTTTACTGCTCAATTTGACCTTACCTGGGAACATAATTGTTCATGTTATAGCAGTTCTGAGAATGTTTTGCTCTATCATGAACAGAAATATATTACTTCAGGAATTTGGTACTAAACATGTATAAAATTGGCTTAAGATACTTGGTAAACTTTCAATAGTATCCACTTTTAAAATGTATATAAGGTACTTTGCACGACTAAGCACTCAGCAAATACTGATGTAAACTAATGGATTCAAGCAGCAAGTAGACATCCTGAGCAGACAGAACTCGGCCTGCTGAAGAGATCCTTGTTCTCTACATGTGTGTCCCATGAGTCACCTCCCACTTCAGACTCGGTGTGTGCATGTTTCTGGGTCGAGTATATTGTTTGGAAATTAGATCCACCCCATATTTACAGAGGGCCCTGCCTTTTAAAATCAAATTAATATTTCACTCTCAAATAAAAAGTTAAGACAGCAAATTAACTTACTTGTATTTAGTTATTTTGTTACTGTATATTTGTAAGAAGGCGAGTCAAAAATTCTACAATTGTTTTCTCTTTAATCCAGTTTAATAACTCTTGTTTATCCAAAATAACTTGGCATGACTTTATTACTAGCCATTTTGCTACTACAGAAAGATTAGGGCTTTTTAAAATAAACTGATGGAGGAGTAACCTTTACAAAGTAATATGTGTGTAATACCACAGAGCCAAAACTGGATTTCAAAAATAATAAGTAATTGTGTAAGAAACAAAAACTTTCAAACTACAACATTTTTTTTTAGTATCAGGATTGGTTTTCCACCATAGAACTTTTGCTGTATTCATGTACTAAGTTTTGTGGGTTGTTATAAAGCCTATCTCCCCCCAAATGCATGTGCCTGCAGTTTCCTCAACACAGTCTTTCAAAAAAATTTTTTCTAAAAGATTTTATTTCTTTAGAGAGATGGGAAGAATGAGAGGGAGAGAAATGTTGATCAGTTGCCTTTCACACGCCCCCAACTGGTGACCTGGCCTGCAACCCAGGTGTGTGCCCTGACTGGGAATCAAACCAGCGACCTTTAGGTTCACAGGTCAGTGTTCAACTGAGCCACACCAGCCAGGGCCTTAACACACAGTCTTGATCATTTTACTTTCTAGAACTTTGCTGTCCAGCATGCTAACCAGTAACCACATATGTCTTAAGTTTAAATTAGTTTAAATAAAATAAAAAACACAAGTCCTTTGTTGCAGTGGCTGTTGGTTGCCATATTTGACAGCTCAGATAGAGAAGGTTTCCATCATTACAGAAAGTCTTTTTTTGTACAACACGGGTCTAGATTGAGAGTGGGGGTGGCAGTAGGATAGCCTTGATTCTTTGCTGGTTTCACAGATTGTTCAAAGGTATAAGTGAGGGAAGGTACAACTTGGTACTTTGTTCCTAAAAAGGTAATGTTGCTTCTCTTACTCTTGTTATTGCTTTTTTGATCATTGGAAGTCACTGGACTTTAAAACAACTTCATTGCCAACAAAGAAATACGTCCAAGCTGTGTAAGGGTTTTTATTTTTCAGCCTTTCTTTTTTCCATTGTTGTTTTCTTCCCACAGCTGCTGGGAATGCTGTGCGCATGCATCGTTTTGTGCAGAAGGAGTAGAGATCCTGCTTATGAGCTTCTCATCACTGGTGGAACCTATGCGTAGTACAAAACTCAAGCCTGAGCTAGTTGGTCTTATTCTGATTTGGAAGGACAATGGAGCAGGTCTACTGCGGTCGGCCTCCAGAGTTCATTTAGTTAAAGCCCATGTGTTGGACACAGCAGCTTGGTTCTTCATGTGCCCACTTACTTAACCTACCAACAATTTTCTTTTCCCCTCTTCTAGCTGACTCTCAATGACTCTCTGTTTTTAAGCACCATTGGTCAACGTTCTAATTGCAGAACCATTTGCAATTTGCCTAGTGTGGTGAAATTAAAAGAGGGAGTGGCTGCTTCTATTACCTCCCAGCAGCAGTTGGCCTCTTGCTGAAGTACCACTGGGCCCTGCTAGGCTTCACAGTGGACAACTGTGGGTCAAAGGATTTTGGGGGAAGGGGAGTTAACACCAGATGGTGCCCCTCATGAGTGTCCTTTAGAAAATATATTTACTGTAGTCCAGTATGATTGCAGCTGTACAAAATGGCTAAAATTGAATTTAGAATCATGCAATGTGTATCTTGGTTCATATTCAAAATCAGAGTGATCTTTGAAACGAGGTTTTTAATCAAAGCTGGCTTTATAGGAGGAGTATAATGTATGCACTACTGTTTTAAAACAATTAGTGTGGGGGGGTAGTGTTTGAACCCATTCATTGTAAGTCTAAACTTGTTAGAAATAATGTACCCATGTAGACTAGCAACCTATTATGTAGGTGTGATCTCAGTTGTAAATAGAAAACTCTAATTCAATAAACTCTGTATTACCTCTATGTGTAGTTTTTAATTATTTGAGGGTACTTCAGTGTTTTAAATGTTGGTTCATCATGATTTGCACATGTTTTAATTATATCTGTTGCCAAAATCTTAAAGACCTTAGTATTTAAAACCCACAGATGCTTTTCAGCCCCACATATTCCACAAATATGGAGAATCTACTTGTGCATGGTGCTGGGGGTACAATGATGATGCTGTTCTTGCCTTCAAGGCATGTGGAATCTTAGTATAGCAGATATACACAGGAGCAGATAATTTCCATACAGTGCAGTGATTGTAGTAACAAAAGAATGGAAGCCCGAAGGAGGTGCCCAGAAAGGTCAGGAACAATGTCCTGGAGAAGAAGCCCAAGCCCAGTGGCTGCATAAGCTTTGTGGGAGAAGTTACCAGGAGTGTGAAGTGGGATGGAGTTTGCAGGGAACTACCAGTAGCTCATTGTGCCTGGAACTTAAAATACAAGGCTGGGGAAAGAAGTAGAAGTGGCAAAGCCTCTGGGTTCTTTAGGGTCTTACCCAACATCCCGTGGAGAGTTAGACTTGACCTACAGACAGAGGCAGCCACGTGTGATATGAGTGGACCTGTTGTAGAGATCCCAGTGGCTGCGGTGAGAAGGATGGATTGGAGGGGCATGACTAGGCTTTAGTGAGGTGGATGGGCTGGTTCAGGATAGTTACTGTTTTCTCCTAGCTCATGAGCAATCTCTGGAGACATACTGTAAGACCATATAAATATCCTGTTCCTCACCAACCTTGTCCTGAGATTTAACAAATATTGCTGATTCAGTCTACTATGATTACTGTTTTAGGTTCCATCTTGAGTATGATGATTGTAAAACACTGTTTTCCTCATTTATCAGTCTGCCCTCCCTCCCTTCTCACACAATGATTTATTTTTATGTATCTATATTCATTATGGACTGGTAGATTTCCATTTTTTGAATGATTTATAATTTCTTATTGTCCTTTTTTGTTCTGTTTTGTTTCGTTTTTGGTTTTCAGTTTCAGATTAGGCCAGTAGGAGCCCTTTCAAGTTGCTTCTTGTGCTGCAGTCATTTTTGGAACATTTCTGTAGTGTTTGACATAACAAGATGTTCCAGATTCATCTTGTACCCACTGTGCCCCAGTCCTGGAGTCAGTGTCTCTCCAAGGGACCCTGGGCCCTGGTACCCGCTGTGCTTGTTGCTATTGTCATCTTTGCTTTTCATTTATCAGAGCTTGTCTTGTTGTCTTTTAGAAAATTGTTTCTAATTTTTTAATAAGAGTAGTAGTATCTATAGGTAAGTACGTTTAGATGTGATGTCTATCCTTTTAGACTACAGTTGAACAACGCTGGTTTGAACTGCACGAGTCCCCTTATATGCAGATTATTTTTTCAATATATGCATATATACAGCCAACCTTCTGTATCCCTGCGTTTCACATCTGCAGATTCAGTGAGCCACGATTGAAGGCAGTATTTTTGATCCGTGGTTGGGAACCTGCAGATGCAGAGTGCCAACTCGATGCATTGTTCTGTGCCAGTTTATATAAGGGATTTGAGCATCCATGGATTTTCATGTCCATGGGGGTTCTTGGAACCTCTCTCCCACAAATAACAAGGGACTATAGTTAAGTTTTGTGGGAGTCAAAAGTTATATGCTGATTTTTGACTGTAAGTGGCTAGGGTTGGTGCCCCTTAACACTCCTGTTGTTTGAGGGTCAACTATATTTTCTTCTACATACACACAAACAGGCATTTGTGGTTTTGCTTTACTACTGTCTGAATTCTGTTCTACAAGACTCACTTTTTCTCTTTACAACATAGTATGGTGCTATTTCTGTATTAGACTGTAGGATTTGTCATTCCTTTTTGTTAGCTGGATGGGTGTGTCAACACCACGATTAATGCGCGTACAGTAAGTCATTCAGGTTGATTCCAACCTTGCTGCAGCAAACACCTCCATGCACATACTGTCAGGCATTAAAAGCATAAAATCAACCATTTTAAAGTGAACGATTCAGTGACATTTAGTATGTTCACAGTGTTGTACAACCACATCCCCTATCTAGTTTTAGTTTGCCCAGGGGCTTATGCCCTAATTTTACTGATAATGAAATTGAAGTGCAGAGAGATGGTGACTTTCCTGAGACCACACAAAAAAGTATGAGCATGGATTCCAATCCTGATATTCTGACCACAGAGGCTGTGCTTTCCTCTGTCAGGCAGAAGGCTGCCATTAGTCATACAGCCAGCTGCAGAGGCTGGCTCCCTCTTTCTCTGGCTCTTTCTCCTCTGTTTGGAATGCTGTTCGTGAGATTGGTTCCCATCTCTGGGGCTGTGACCTGGTTCACAGAGAATGGAGAATGCTGTAGAGGCAGTGAACCTGACTTAGAGTCACTTGTGTTTGTGTATATTTTTCCACTGGTATCAATTGTGACCCAGGAGTTACTTTCAGTTCTGTTCTTTAGTTGTCTGGCTGTGTTATGTAACATTCATTACCCATTACCTGCTGGGGCCCACAGACACTACCAGCATCAGTCAGAGATGACGATAAATATCTAGGCAAAAGTTTCAAAAAAAATGTTGGCAGTCAAATTAAGTGCTCAGTCAAGATGACAAGGTATTTTCAAAGAATAAATAAGCACTGATACATAACTGTCTCCTCTTCTCTTCCTCTTGGCTGCATATACATGACCTGACCCTGGTGGTCAGTCTGCTCGGCTGCCACCCTTTTCTGGGCCCCGCTTCTATTCTGCCTGGAGGCACGGGCCAATTCTCAAGGCTCAACTCAGAAGTCACTTGTCATCACCTTTCTTCCAGAATTGTTCTCCAGCCCAATGGCCACTTCCTGGACAAGCCACTGTCATCTCTGTGCAGGATAAGCTTCACCTGGTTGGTCTCCCAGTCCCATTCTTGCTCTGTTGACTGTTTGCTTTGTGTCAGAGGGTATACAGTACAGTACCTCTTCTGAAGTCAGTGAACTCTTTGAGGGGACTCTTTATCTTAGCACCCCCCATTATCAAATACAGTGTCCTTCACACAGAAGCCATCAAAATACCTTGACTGAATTACTTCTGGGGCTGCCTGCCAAGTCTTGTACCTGAGGCAACATTTCTGGTCCAGGAAAGCATTTCCATAGCTAGGCCTTATTCACTGACTTTTCTCTCTCTCTCCAGGAACATATAAGACCAAGCATTAGATTATATTTTTCTTTCCAAGTAGCCCTAGGTATAAACCTCACATGGGTTAGGGGGAGGTGTGGATGTTTGGTCAGTGCTCTCATAGGATATGCTTTATGAGGGAAAATAACATTTCAGAAAGGATTTATTTCTACCCCACCCTACACCCAGAGGCCCAAAGCCTTTTCCTACCCTATCTGCCACAAACCCTCTGGTGGATGCAGTGGTAACTAACCTTAGTCCACAGATCCAGAACCCTGCTTCCAGGGTCTCCCTCTGGGGCTGCCTTTTCACCTCTGCCTGGCCCCTGCCTGAATGTTTTGTAGGCTTGAGAGGTGCGCGTACCCCTGAGACTGGAGTTAGAGGTCACAATCCAAAGGTACTTTGCCTCCTGAAAGACGAAAGCCCACCCCCCTCCTGCACTAGTTGTCATGTTTGCATAATCACACCACTTTTTTGCTGAAGTGATGAAGATGAGGGCACAAAGATGGACACTTTCTGTAAACACAAGAACAGCCTTCTTTAGCAGCTTCTCCTGGCCCTCTTCTTTGGGTAGGGCTTGGTCAGAGGTGTCCTTTTATCCCCTGTGGCGTCTGAAACTTGCTTGGGCATGGGGGACAGTGCTCCATGTGGCAGCCAGGGGGATGGCAGTCTAGGCAGAGCCAGGACTGTGGTGGGAAGCCACCGTGCACTGCAGGCTTCCGTGAGTGTTACGAGACAGACCCCTGCCACCAGAGGTGTTGAAGCCAACTGGGTTGTCCAGTGCCCAGTCTTCAGGAGTGGCAGGGAGGGCATTGTGTAGTAGGTCAGTTTAGTTCTTTCAGAGTCTCTCCCAGTTTTAAATCCTGAGGAGTTCCGGTAATGGCACTTACTTACTCCCTTCTCTGTTGCGCACATGAACCCCAGAGCTCTTTGTGGGGCTACCAGAGCAGGCAGGCATGGAAAGGAACCCCTTTACTCTGTTGGAAAAGATTTCCTATTTCCTTGGCTTACCTCAGATTACCTGTCCCAGAACCCCCGGACTGTTCTGCACATCCTGTGTCATCATGGACTTTCTGGGCTGTTTGGTCCCCTTTACTGGGCCAAGAGCTCCTTGAGTAAAGCAAAGAACTGAGGCTTTACTTATCTTGCTTTTATATGGGGTGGGCCCCAAAGGTTTATGAATGAACAAGCAAAGTAATTTACAGTCTCAGAGAAAGATGCTCTACAGAGGATAATAACACCCTCAACAGTGTCTTTCAAGGTGTGCTTGGTAGAGGAGAACTCGTGTCTCCCACCCACCCACCCACCCACCCCTTCATTACTCTGGCCCTGAGCTGGGCAGGCTGCTGTGTTGTGCTTTGGAGTGCTGGGGCGTCCACAGGTGAGTGTAGGAGGCCTAGGACTTAGGAGCTACCTGTTCCTCAGGCTCTCTCCCTACACCACTCCTAAAGTCTTAGGCATGGATGGATCCAAACATGACTGGAGCAGGGCCTTGGCCAACAGGAGAAGTTATGTTTTCAGGGCCTGGGTCCAAAGAGAGAAAGTCCTGAGAGCATCAAGAACCAAAGGGAACATGGCCACCTCTGTGCCCCTGAGCACAGGCTCTGAGTCCCTGCCTAGGCAGGATTTGCCATGTTTGACAAGGGGCAGCACAGGCAATACTGGCTTCCTTGGGGCCCCTGGGTCAGGGAGTGCAGTAAGGATCACTTGACCTATAAACCTCTAAGCCTGTCTTCTCTGATTCCCCACCATGCCCCCCCCCCCCCCGCCACTCCTCGTGGGCCTGCCTCCTCCTTGTACTAACCCACCTGCGTAGCCCTGATGATCTTCTCTTCCTTGTGTCCTGTCTGATACTA